CCTCCAGACCGTTTCACAATCCTATACCCTGGATTAAAGTACAGCTTTCTTTCAAGCAAGTACGAAAATATGGCTTCACAAACATTTCCATCCCCTTAAGGTAATAAAAAAAAGCAAAGTTTTAATCAACATCCCAGTGATTTCCTTAGTATTAAATTTATTGTTTTTTTTAAAAGCTCATTAATGCTGTCTCTATGAAAAACAGGCAACATTGTTAGTGATTGCCTATGTTTMTCTGTCTGTTAGCAAAATATATAACGAAAAAAACAGAATGAATCTTTCAAAAATTAATTATTGTATGTACCACTGCAAAATTATTCAAGCTGGCTGTCACATCTAATCAACCTTAGCAAACTTAAATATGTTTAAGACTCTGTCAATGTTACAGCTATTGAGCTAAAACTAGGTGTGGGAGCAGCTGAGAGTAAAGCTCCGAGTGCAAATGGAATCACGCAACATCTTTATCTAAAACATCAACCTGTGTTCACTTTTGGAGAAGCATTAAGGAAAAAACTGAGAAACTTGTTAAAATGGATATCCCTTCAAATGTTCTGTTCTATTGGCTTGATGTTATACCAGCGGACATTTTCCATGTTGACCAAAGATATATTACACGCATTTTGTTGTTAATTGCTAAGAAAAATATAACTGTGAAGTGGAAAAATGTGAAACCACCAACTGTCATGGAAGCAAAGATTACAAAAAGTGTAAATGATGGAAAAAATGAGTGCATCCTTACAAATAAAAATTGATATTTTCAACCGGAGATGGAACAAGGTTAAAGTGTACCTTGAACTATAAAATATAGTTAACTTTGGAAATGAGCCCCCATGATATGTATATGTATGTATGTATATACTTTACACATATTTATCTAATTATTTTATTTTTATTTATTTATTTGTGTATGTTTCTTTTGTGTGTGAGTGTCTAATCACTTGTCTCCTGTAATATTATGTTTTGCAAATTTAAATTAAAAGTTTCAAAAAAATAAAAATAAAATAAAAACATCAACCTGTGAAGCAGCAGGGAATTCATTTAAAGCAGTGGTTCCCAAACTTTTTGTCTTCTGATCCACAAAATATTCATGGCAAAAACTTGTGACCCCAAATATTACAGGTCTGCGTACACAAACTTCGTTAATAACCCTAAAAGCACAGGCTTTTTGACAATCTAAACAGCTAGTACACAAATATAAATACTTATTTGTAGTTATTTTGTGTTTTTGTAATATTTATAGGGAAAATATTACATCATCAATTATTTTATTACCCTTTAAACTGATTTCTGGAGATTATCCAAGGTGCTTCATGACCCATAATTGGGTCCCAAGCCCAACTTTGGGAACCAAAGTGCAGTGGTTCCCAAACKTTTCAGCTTTTGACCCACAAAATAACAGTAGCAGAGACCTGTGCCCCCAACTATTTTTGGATGATAAACATTTGTATCAGGTCAACAAACCATGGGCATAGTAACAATATTTTTTATACTACATTTATCTATTTCAAACATACTAACCTCACTCCTTTGTAACAACTAAGGCAAAAATGTAATTAATTCCAAAAATCTTTTCAGGACCCCACCTTCATGTTTCGGGACCCCACTTTGGGTCCCGACCCCAACTTTGGGAAACACTGATTTAAAGCACGCTATTTTTGGAATTTTACATACAGTTTTCCAAAAAAAGTCAGTATACGTGGGGCGTTAGGAAGAACAAAAGGAGTGGAAATTCCTTTTCAAAGCCTACGCACCTTCCTCATCATCTTCTTCCTCATCGTACACGTCCACCTCCAGCAGCCTTATGAGCATACGAAACAGGATGCGTAGAAACTGCAGGTAAGCACCGGTTTTTCCCACCTAGCAGAAAACATTTTTATTTTTTTATTTTTTTATTTGCAGAACTACATAAACATTCACGTGTAAAAATATATACAATGTAAAAACATGCATCTGAGTTTTATTCCTACAGCTTTAAATCATCAAAAACTTTCTTATCTACAACATATAACCCAGATGTGAAACAGTGTATAATATAACATGAATAATTTATTTGTGAAATCATGTTAAATCTTGTGATTTTTCTCGCAGTTTACTGTTAAAGTATTATATTCACATATTTCAGGTGATTTTTATACTGATTAATACATTCCTCTACTTTTCAGTCCAAGGAACAGGCTTTGGTACCTGTGGGGGTCCGCTGAGGAGCAGGCGTCGCGGGTGCGGCTCAGGCGTGGCTTCATAGTCGGCGTGATGCTGCCGGGCGACGGTCCACTGGCGGTAGTACGTGCTCTGCTCCGCCCCCTGCAGGCTGTGAGTGATCAGGGGCCGGAGTGGGCTGCTCCAGGCCACGTCGGCGTGGGGCAGCAGGGAGAAGGAGCTCAGCTGACACCCCGACTCCCCCGCCAGCAGGTTGTACGCCGCCCGTGACAAAATGACCGTCCGTGGCGACACGCGGGGGGACTTGAACGCTCGGGCGCACTGCGTGGACTGGCTGGGCCTCTGGGTGGAGGAGGAGGAGGAAGAGGAGGAGGAGGTGGATGGGGAGGAGGAGGAGCCGGAGTAGAGAGACGGAGCGGGGTTGGCGACTTTCGGAGAGTTGGAGGGGATGCGGCTGCCCGGAGAGTCGCACTCCTGCTTGAACCTTTCGGTGGTCGTGCCCACATCGGAGGTGGCGACAGCCTCGGGTCGGGAGGTGGAAGTGGAGGGCTTCTGGAAAGAATCTGCAACGTCGGACGAGCTGACACCGTTCTCAGCCAGGGAGCCTGAGAGAAAAAAAACAAAAAACAAAACCACAATTTAATGCCAGCTGTTCTGGTTCATCGTCATTCKGACATTCCAGGATTTCAAAGAGACGCACCGGACGCTCTGGTCGCAGCGCTGCCATTGCTCTGAGGCCTCTCCAGCTCGTCTCCGTCGTTCAGGCTGATGGTGCTCTTCTCGCCGTCTGACTCCCGAGGAGCCATGGCCGTCCTGGACTCTTGGACCACGCCCATGGACACATAGGTGCAGGCCAGRCCCACCTCCTGCTCCAGGGCTGTCCGAGTCAGGTAGCTGGAGTCTATCAGACGCAGGTCGGTGTATTTCAAAGACCTGAAAGAACACAAATAAAACTGTTGATATGTTTCCCCCCTTAATCCTATAAATCAATGTAACAGGTCATAGTAAATAAGTAGTAACAGTAAAAATGTAGGCTGCAATTTGATTAAATTCAACAAAGAGCTGTTGTAATAAAAGTATAGTTATAAATGAAAAAAAAAAGCTTTATAAAGTGTGGGATTACCTGGGGAAAGTTTCTCCTAAAGGGTCTTTCCCTGTGAGAATAACGATGCAGGGTAACCCTTCCAGATCTTCATATGTGTGTGGCACCCACTCTTCGTTCTCACAGCCACGCCATGTCTGCAGCGTAAAACACTTTTTAATGTAAGACGAACAGGAATGCATTACGGATTATAAATAACAACAGTTTGCGTTATTTCTAAAGACAAGAAAGGTGTCTCTAACGTCTCACCTTGAGGAGGCCGATGAAGTTTTTGGACAGGCTGAGTTCAGAGGCCGGACTTCCCAGCAGCACGGCGAAGCACAGCTGGAGGCCCAGCTTGTCCCTGACGTCCTCTAACCTCTCGCGCGCCAACATGGCCAGCTGGAGCGAGGGCACCCGGACCAGCAGCATGTGGCCGCGGCCGTGCGAGCCCTCGCGGCTCGGCGCGCTGATCAGGTCCTCCACCATGGCCAGGGTCTCGGGGGTTATGTGGTCCCTCAGGGACGGGGACGAGGTCAGAGCCATCATGGCCTCGGTGTACTGCTGAATCAGCAGGTAGCTGCGGATCACCGTGCTGTGTAGGTGCGGGTGTCTGGGAGACAAGTTGGACCGATTAGAACGCGTGTTTTGAAAAGGAAGCTGAAGTTATTTTTCCAGTTCTGACGTGACGCAAACCTCTTCAGCAGAGTCTGGACCATCTTCTCAAAGGCGTCGTCGCAGCGCAGGATGGGGCTGGCCACGCCCCACTGCAGGGAGCTGCTGTAGTCCCTCAGACCAAAGTAGACCAAGTCGTCGGGGGACTGCTCCCTCTGCTGGAAGGTAATAATCAAACCGACATGAACAACTTAGCAGAGTCTCCTTTATCTCCCAGTATCCCCTTCCACACTCACTGGACTGCCAGCAAATTACTGCTTTTTTTTACTCTTAATATCAGTGTTATTTATGCTAAAACAGAGTTTCAAGCCT